AAAAAAAAACTACAGTAGAAGAACAGATCTTTGCTCATGTTTATGCTACTGAGAAACTTATTTTGGAAGCCATAACATTTTGCTGTGTGTGCACTGCTGTATGTAGCCTTTACTTGTGCTCCTCAGAGCCTTTTAATTCAGGGTGCTTTGTGCTAGTGAGCCAGTGAGGATGTACGTCCCAGCTTTATGCCTACTAGTGGACTGAGGGCAGAGTGGGTGGAGAGATACAGAGACAGATAATGCATGGCGGTTACCCTCACGTTATTAACTGGTCAAGGAAAGGAAACTAAAGCATAAGGACCACCAGTCAGAGAACATAGGCTAGTAGGCGTTTAAGTAGATCACAGGAAGTGAAGAATGTGAAGAGTTCACACAAAGGAAGGTTCTAAGACAGTAATCGGGAAGGGCTTTATTGTAGGAGGGTAGGAACTGACCTGGCCACTGAGGGTGGGTAGTATTGAAGGGAGAAGAAGGAAGATTTCAGTCAGGAAGCAGAGACATAAACTAGTATTTTGGATCACAGCATCTGGCACATGCACACTCAGTACATTATTTTGAAGTATTACATGACAGGAACTGGGCTTGATTTGCATGGTCGTAATGAGTAATAGGGAGAAATTTGGACATACAGTACTAGTAGACCTTGATTTTACAGGGCCTTGAAAACCAGGAGCTTGTGTACAGTGAAAAATTGAGACCTGTTTTAAATTCAGGAAGGTTACATGATAAAAGCATTAAGGATGTTTAATCTGGCCGTGGGTACGAAGGTTGTATTTAGGTATAGACTAGCTGAACAGTTGCTTGGTTAACCATAAATAGGATGGTACCCAAAGGAAGGGAGTGAAATCATTGTATACAGACAATAGAATTCAAAGGAACATAGGGACAGAGAAAAATAATTTATAACCACCCTGGGATTTAAGACAACTGACTCAAAGAAAGCTGTGTCGTTACTGGAGGTTGGGACATTATCTCTAGTTGAAAATGAAAAAAATTAACTTTGTTTCTGAAGCTTCAGGCAAATGGAATTATAAAGCCTGGATTTGAATGCCATAATCCCATGTAATGACCAGTCTCAGGCAGACGTGCCATTTAACCGAAATTTCTCAGCTTTTGTTCTCTTTAACTGAAACATGCTGAGACCTCACAGAATTGAGGATTAAATGGAATAATGTACTAGGAGAAAGTGTTGTGAAGTAATGTAGGGAGGTTGCTTTTGAGGTGATGATGGGATTTACATGTTTTAAATATATAACCTAGAGCAGAGGTGAGAGAATACAGAATAAGTTGTAATAGTTTCCGAGGACTGTGATTACTACTTACCACCAACTGGGTGACTTAACAGACATTTAGGCTACGTGCAGTGGCTCATGTCTGTAATCCCAACAATTTGGGAGGCCAAGGAAGGAGGTTTGCTTTAAGCCAGGAGTTCACGACCAGCCTGGGCAATGTAGTGAGACCCTGTTTCTACAAAAACTTAAAAAAAAAAATGTAACTGGGCATAGTGATGTCAGTCTGTAGTACTAGCTACTTTACAGGCTGAGGCAGGAAGATTGCTTGAGCTCAGGAGTTAGAGGCTGCAGGTGAACTATGATTGTGCCACTGCACTGTAGCCTGGGCAACAGTGAGACCCCATCTCAAAAAAAATCCCATTCTAAAAATGTTGTCCTTTAGACCTTGAAAAGGAGAAAAGTGAGAGATATTATCAGAGGGAGAAAATGAGCCTCATCTGTGAGTAGGGAGGGGCTTTGGCTATACTCTGGGCTTCAGGGTGTGATCTGCAGGAGAGATGTGCAAGTCATGTGCCTTCAAAGTAGTCATGAACAGAAAGTAAGCTGCAGGAGAAAACCTGACCGTGTACATCTCCCCTGCAGCCTAAAAGTTCAGCACAAAAACTATTTTTGTTTCAGTGCAATGTCAAAAAAAAATTTCTCTGTTATAGGTAAAAATGAATGAGCTTTACCTTCCAATGATGGTATGAGAGTTAGGAAGAACTATTTCTAGAGTATGGAAAATCTAGTTTCCGTATGAAGGTGGTTAATCATTTAGACTCACTGCTTGCATACTTTGCGCCTGCTATGATTTTTACTCATTTATCTGGCCCTTTCTGAAGTTCAGCATTTAGGTAATAAGACAGAGGGGAATGGTGGGTATGGAAAATTGTATTTTCCAAAGATGGCCACAATAATACCTCCAGCCCACATGTTCTTCTACAATATGACCTTTCCACTCCCCTGTCGAGAAATAGAGCTAATTCCTTTCCTCTTGAATCTTGTGCTGGCTTTATGATTTGCCTGTAACTAATAGAATGTAGTGGGAGTGAATCTGGGTGCCTTCCTAAGTTGGATCAGAAAAGGCCATGTAGCTTTTACCTGGTTCTCTTGGGACACTCGCTCTTGGGGAAGCCAGCCACCATGTAAGAAGTGTGACAACTCTGGGCCCCCCATGCTGAAGAGGCCATGGGTAGGTACAGCCCCTGTTGAACCTAGCCTCTGAGCCATCCCTACCAAGACAGCAGACATGTTATAGAATCCATCTTGGAACCTCCAGAGTAGCCCATCTGTCAGCTGAATAACACTGAGTGACCTCAGTCAGTCAACCTCATGAAGAACAGAAGAAACCGTGTCTCTTTAAAAACACACACACACACACACACACACACACACACAAATTTATCGTATCACAGTTCTGGAGGTCAAAGTCAAGATATCATCAGGGTGTTTTCTTGGGAGAATCTGTTGCATTCCTCACTGCTTGCTTCTGGAGGTTGCTGGCAGTCAATCCTTGGATTTCCTCGGCTTATAGATATATCACTTCAGTCTACCTTTATCTTCACATGGCATTCTCCCCATGTGTTTCTGTGTCCTCACATGGCGTTCTTATAAGGGAACACCCTTATCCAGTATGACTCAACTAATTACATTTGCAAGGACCCTATTCCAAATAGGGCCACAGTCTGAAGTTCTGAGTGGTTGTGAATTTTCAGGGGACACTTAATCCAGTACAGTTGTTCACAAGTATTTCCAAATAAGTCTAATCATTGTGTATTTGCTTTTTCCCAAGAGCACTGGAATTAAGTTGCCTTCATCAGTGTTTGCATCAGAGTTTGAGGAAGACGTTGGATTATTAAATAAAGCAGCTCCGGTTTCAGGTGTGTTTAGTTTCTTTAACTTTTCATGTGAATAAATCTGTGCTTTGCAAAAAGAAATAGAGTAATGATGTAGGATTTTTCTATACCTTATAAAGTATTGAAACAATTGAGATGTGTCTAGAATTCAGATTAGAGATTATTAGGAAGGAAGAAATGTGATCCTTGTCCTCCTGTGCTACTGCCATCAAATTCTTACATCTTTAGAGTTCTGTTTGGAGGGGAAAGTCAAAAAACTATTATTGGTGATCTAGTGGGGAAATTTTAACATTCACCTAACCTCTCACAAGGAAAATAATGTATTCATTATTCATTATTTACATAGTGTCATTTCGAAAAATAATCTGTTGTTTTTCAAAATTTCTCCTGAGAGTATACAAGTATTTAGTAGAAGTTCATTTTATCATCTACTTCAGATACACTGAAAACAATTTTTTTTTTAATTTTCAGTACCAATATTTAGAGCAAACACAAAAATCCACAGAAGTGGTGTTTGATATTTTCTCCTAAATTGCCTCAATTATTGACTAACGCTTGCCTTTTGGCATTCATTCATTGTTTTATGCTACAGACTTCTGAGTTGCCACCATGTGGCAGGGTCTTGGGATTAAGCCAGAATAAAGCATAGTCCCTAGTCTCAAGGAATTTACCTCATTTGGAAAAGATTCACAATAAATGGGAAATTACAATTACAATACAAGTGGATAAACACTGCTGGGTTGAGGGGCACCAAACCCAGCCTGAGGGAGTTGGGCACGGCTTCCTAAGGGAAGTGATGTCCAGGTTGATTTCTTGAGTAGAAATTAGGCAGGTGGAAGAAGGAGGGAGATACTGGGAAGTGATAATATTTCAAACAGAGGACTATACAAAAGCAAAAGAACATGACTGCGTAACTGCATATAAGTTAGCATACCCACAAGGAAGGATATGGACTAAAAAGAAACGAGGCCGGACAGTTAAGCAGTGGCCATGCAGAGGGTGTCAGAGGCCACATCAGATTTTAAGCTTGTACTTGAACGTTTTTCTTGAAGTCTAGAATTTTTACAGATGGAAGAATATAGCTAAAGGAACAGGCAAGGGTTTATTAAAATCTCATAGTCAGAAAAAACTACAAGGGTAACAGTCTGCAAATATTTGAGTTACTTCTAACAGATGAATTTAAATCTCAGTTCTTTCCTGCAGGTGAAAGCTTTGAATTTTTCTAAATAGACAAAGCTTATTATTACAGATCTGTAATAGAAGAGTATTTTTTACCAGTGGATATTAAAGGAAAGAGAATTTTTTTTTTAAACTTGGAATTAGTAAAAGTTAATTACTTTATTCTTCACTAAACTGAACTTCTTAAAGTTCTTAATCATGCTTTTATCCTTAAAAAATATGTAAATAGAATTTGGCATATTATAGACACTGAGATTGTTAAGTGAATGAATTGTGCTTTCTTGAGAATTACTGCTCAATTTTTATTTTCCTTCTAGGACCTCGACTGGATTTTGATCCTGACATTGTTGCAGCTCTCGATGATGATTTTGACTTTGATAATCCAGATAATCTGCTTGAGGATGACTTTATTTTTCAGGCCAATAAGCCAACAAGAGAGGAAGAAGGAATGGATATACAGTATGTGTGGTTTGTTTCGAAGCAGAGATGACCTGTTAATTCTTCAGTGGGGTGGTAGCCATAGAATATTACAGTTGGAAGAGGTTTTCGAGAACGTTTAATCTGAGACTTTTGTTATTTCAGAGCTGAAAATGTGAGACATGAGGTCTTTACGAGCTATTGATAGGGGCTAATGTCCGGGGGTCCTGATTGCCACTTCATTGCTTTTCCAACATACCAGATAGCTTCACTGTTCCTGCCTAAACAAGAACCATTCCTGAAACACGTTCTGGTTTTACTTACATAAAGTTGTTTCATTCTCTTATTTTTTAAATTGTTTTAACAGGTAATTTATGACTGTTTGACTTTAGGAAATCTGAGGATGAGGATGAGTGGGAAGATGTGGATGATGAGAAGGGAAGAGGTAGTGG